CATAGACAAGGAAATAAAATAAAGTCTAAGTTCTCTCTGGGTACACAACTGGGATATAGAAACAGAACAAAGACTGCAGGGGAAGCTTCAGTCCCAGTTCTTCAGCTGGGATACCAGTTGGACAATCTGAGTTTGGTAGCAACTTCAAAGTCCCAATGAACTGACCTACTATCTGCTTTACAACCCTAGTCAGAAAAGCTGTGATCCCCCCCAGTCCTTTACAATTTTGGTACCTGTAGTGACTGTGAAGAAATGACAAGTATACTCAACTTCTGCTCTTCAGGGGAACCAGCAAGTGGGCAGATTTACTTGTCAGCTGATCTTGGTGTCTCCTGGCCTACTCAAGAGTCACAGGAGATACAGAAATTGTGTATAACTCTCTATAGTAAAACACAAATTTGAATTGATAGACCATTTTTTTTTTTTGGTCCAGTTGTAGGGCCTGAACTCTGGGCCTGGCCACTGTCCCTCAGCTCTTCAGCTCAAGGCTAGCGCTCTACCACTTGAGCCACAGCACCACTTCCGGCTTTTTTCTTTTTGCTTATGTGGTGCTGAGGAATCGAACCCAGGGCCTCATGCATGCAAGGCAAGCGCTCTACCACTGAGCCACCTTCCCAGCCTGATAGACCATTTTTTTATCTGAAAGTATGAGGCCAACAGAATTGGTACATCCTTAGTGCTGAGAAAAACCAACTGTCAACCAGGAATTCTACATCCAAGAAAAAAAAATGCCCTTCAGGAATGAAGGCAACATACAGACATTCTCTGAGAAAGAAAAACAAAGAAACTTGTTTCTGCCATGCTTACCAAGAAATAATGTGAAAAAGAAGTTCTCTAAAGAGAAAAAAAAAAAAAACCAAGAAGGCTAGGACATACAGAAGGGAAAAAAATGATAGTATGGTTAAAACAAAACAAAAAACAACAACTGGAGGAAATTTACTTTGACCTCAATGAATTTCTTTAATTAAAGTTTATGGTTGAAACAAAATTATCACACAATCTAATCTGCTGCTAATGAACACATAGAAACTAGTTAATGTTCATTTAACCTGCAGGATGTCCTTCACTGTAAATAGTATACTCGGCTAGCACTGAGTATACAGTTCACCAATAAAAATAGATGGAGTATGTATACAAATAACAACTTGGAGAAAATTTATAGACAGTATATTGAATAAAAATGTTAAAAGTTAATCTCAAAGAGTTGTATAGTTCCACTTACATAACACTTTGAAATGAGTGAATTCTAAGTGCAAAACGCATTAGTGGCTGCCAGGGGTTAATGATTGAGGTTGTAATAACCAGCAGGGGCAAAAGCCACCTGCCTACCCCCACTGACATCATTGTGCAGGCTGCCCCCTTCTTTGGTTTAGGAGCCATTAGGCTTGGGGCAGGGCCAATGGAAGGAGCAGTTGGACAGTGGGAGGCTTGAGGCAGGCCAATAGGAGGAATAGCTGGAGTCGGGGCGTGGGCACAGCCTATATATATATATATATATATATAGGCTGCATGCTCCACGGAAAGGGGGTGGTGGTAGTGGAGAAGACAGAAGAGAGACCCGGTCCAAGAAAGAAGAGAGAGAAGCAGCAAGAGGCCTGCAGGAAGGCAAGAAGCCTTAGGAGAGGCCTGACCAGAAGGAGGAAGGGAGAATAAAGATCAAGGTTGCCCCTTTGGAGGTTTGAGGGTTTGCAGACTGACTAATAGGTGATTGTTTTGCTCCCAGGTCATAACACTGTGAAGGGGTGGGCATGGTTGTGTAAGGGTAAACTTATGGTAACATGGTAATAGTACAGGTAAGTAACTTGACTCTGGTAGTGGCTATACAAAGCTACCCATGACAAAAATGTACAGACCCACACACAATTACACACTGTGGGCATGTGTAAATTAGATGTATTATGTAAAATTAGATGTAAAATGTAAAGTAGATGGATTATCCCAATGTTAATTTCCATTTTCTTTGCTAAGTGAAGGGCTCATGGGTATGCCCTAGACATTTATTTGCAACTTCCTGTTGATCTGTACTTCATATGTGTGTGTATATATATATATATATTTTTTTTTTCTTTTTTTGTCAATTGTGGGGCTGGAACTCAGGGCCTGGATGCTGTCCCTGAGTCTCCTGTGCTCAAGGCTAGGGCTCTATCATTCAAGCCACTTCTGGTTTTTGAGTGGTTAACTGGAGCTATGAATCTCATGGGGACTTTCTGCCTGGGCTGGCTTTGAACTGCAACCCTCAGATCTCAGCCTCCTGAGTCGAAAAAATTACAAGCATGAGCCAGCAGCACCTGGCTTATATATATTTTATTAAATTCATTGTTTTTATTTTTTGGGCTTGAACTCAGGGCCTGGGAATGTCCCTAAGCTTCTTTTGCAAAGCTAGCACTATATCAATTGAGCAATAGTGACACAGATGGCTTTTTTTGGTTGTTGTTTATGTGGTATTGAGGAATTGAATCAGAGCTTCATGCAAGCTAGGCGAGCACTCTATGCTAAGCAACATTGCTACATTCCCAGCCCATTAAATTCATTTTTAAATTTTCTCTTTTAATGTTTGTATGCATAATACTTTATTTAAAGCTTTTTTAAGATATAATTTTATTGTAAAGATACTATACAGAGGTGCTACAGTTACATGAGTAAGGTAAATGAGTATATTTCCTATTGAGCAGTTACCCCCTCCTTTGTTTTTCCCCTACCAACCCTTTCCTCCCTTCTCCCCAATTTTCTTTAAATAGTTATAAAAAGGAATTTCAATTCAACATGTCAATGTTGCTTCTTCTATTGTTCTCTCCCCATCTATCCTGACCCCACCAACTCCCTTAAGTTACCTAGTTCTGCTGGGTGCTGGTGGCTCATGCCTGTAATCTTAAATACTCTGAAGGCTGAGATCTGTGGATCATGGTTCAAAGCCAGCCTGGGCAGGAAACTCTGTGACTCTTATCTCCAGTAAACCACTAGAAAACCAGAAGTGGTGCTGTGGCTCAAACAGTAGAGTGCTTGCCTTGAGCTGAAGAGAGCAGAGAAAGCACCCAGGCCCAGATTTCAAGACCCACGACAGACAAAAAAAAAAAAAGTTACCTAGTTTCATTTCACATATATACCCTGAGTAAATATTTGACTGCTCACATTTTAACTAACTGTGGCAAATAAGAATGAATAGAAATTAAACTATGACTACAAAATCAACAGAAGAGGTAGATCAATAAGTTAAAGAAGAGTTGTAATGCAAATGATAATGCACCTGATCCCCAGTACCACACATGCACACACACACAAAGAAGATACTCTAAATGTTACTTCTTATAATAAATATCTGTATTATAGCAAGATATGACTCTAAAACAATATAATTAAAATTATAGTTTTAATTAAAATAAAATTATAGAAATGAATATAGAAAAAGAATAAAAGAAATAGAAATCATTAAAGAAAATGTAAGAGACTCACAACATAGGACTGTGAATGTTTTTGTATACTAAAGACCAGAGGTCACAGGGTACCATTTTGGCCAGTTTGTTTTTAAAATGTGATTTACAGTGAATACCTAGCTTTTCTCTGTGATGTTTGCACATGCCTTAATTACTGTTCATAAAAATTTTGTTAAAATTTGTTCATAAAAATTTTGCTCATGAAGTCCTTTGAAGATCTTTTCATCTGTCCCCATAATGCAAGTCTGTGACCTATTACTTAATTTTCTAAGAAAAAGTATTGAGGTTTCATCATCTTAGAGAACTGGGACAAGCACAGAAATGATATGTAAATGTTATATGCGCATCTAAAAATGGCCTAAGGTAAAGGACAATTTTCATGGAACATGTCTGTAACATATTAATGAAAAGATTTTATGTTAGTAACATGTCTCTCAACTACTTCTAATCTAGAAACCACTAAGAATCACATGTTTTGTTGAAGACCAGCAAGAGTCAGAGAAATAGTGTGATAGAGGATACAAGGTCTTTCTTTTTCTCTCATTAAATAACTTACTGCTGTGTGTGCGTGTGTATGTGAGAGAGACCATCCACAAACACACACACACACACATGAAGTAACAATTCCATTTATAAGCATATCCCCTGTAAGTGCTGACACCATTTTTATTAAATGCATGTCAACTACTTAGAATCCCAGGCACACATTCAGGTTCATTTCCTTTCTCCTCAAGCAGTTTCTACAATCCAAAACATTTTCACTTTAACAGTCCTCGCTACTGGTATCATTTAATACATGAGTGTCTACTCTAGTCTACATCAATCTTGCTGATCCTGCAAACACTTATTTTGTTGACACAACACAGTCTAAATCCACAGCTACTAAATGTTCAAAAACTATTCCTTCCTCTAACCTGTTATCAACTGCTAAGGGCAACTTTGCCAGTGTGTCAGTTCCTCAGGGGACAGATACCAAGTATTTCATGTGATCCTAATCCCTTCTATTGTCACCAGCCTTTTGGCCCATGAACTGTATCCTCCCAAATATAATTGACCCCTTAAATTTAATCATTCGGAAGATGAAAATGCTTACCTGGAAAACACTTTATTTAGACACATTTTTATTTCCTCACTAACAAGAAGTCTTTTGGGGGCAGGGGTAGTGGTGGTGGTGCTGGTCCTGAGGCTTGAACTCAGGACGACCTACATGATGTCCCTGAGTTTTGTTTTGTTGTTTTTTTCCACAAGGTTAGTGCTCTACCACTTGAGCCAGAGCTCTACTTCTGGTTTTTTGGAGGTTAACTGGACATAACTATGTAACAGATTCTCTAGCTCAAGCTAACTTTGAAATGTGATCCTTAGTTCTTAGATTTTTGAGTAGCTAGGATTACAGGTGTGAACCACAGGTGCTGAGCTAACAAGTAGCCCTTTACAAACAACTAAATCTTAACTAACCAGGGAGAAATTTTCCTCAGGAACAAGAAAACTTTTTCAGAATAAAATTTTCTCTTTAATGAAGCCTATATGTCTTTAAATTAGTCTAAATTAAAAAGTACAGTATCTCCTTACCTGATTGGAGTACCTCATGCTCACGTTACGTTGATTCTGTGGCGGGACATAGCGCTGGATAGGATCAATATCTTTAGGACTGATTAACTCATCAGCTGAAAAGAAAAAGAAGGCAATATGCATTATAAAAATATATTAGCACAATACTCTAAACAAATTAGACAAGAGATATGTATAGGACACCTCTGTACAAAAGCAGAATATCCATTCTTAGAGCCCATAGAACACCCTCCAGAATGCAGTATATACTAGCACAGAAAAACCCTGAATAAATACATAAAGAGGCACTCATAATGTTCATTCATGCCTGTAATCTCAGAAACTTGGAAAATAGAATTTGGGACACTTGCAGTTCTAGGTAGCCCAGGCAAAAAGTTAGCAAGACACCATCTCAACAAGCTGGGCATCATGGTTCAAATTTATAAACACAGCTATGCACTAGATTTAGGTAGGAGGATCAAGGCCCAAATCTGGCCAACACAAAAAAAAAACCCACAAAGACATTATTAAAAATAACTTTAAAAACATTAAACATAACTATTTTTTTAGTTCTGGGGTTTGAACTCAGGGTTCTGTGTTTGCTAGACAGATATTCTACTTCTTGAGTCATGTGTCCAGCTACTTATTTAAAAAATAACTAAAGCAATAAATAGATAAATGAATGTTGAAATAAGGAAAAGTACATTGTTTTACTATGTGATAAAAATGAGAAGTAATAGTAATTTCAGAGATTCACAAATATATAGAAATTAATAGCTGGGAAGATGGCTCAGTTGTAGAGCGCTTGCCTTGCATGCTTGAGGCCCTGGGTTCGATTCCTCAGCACCACATAAGCAGAAAAAAAAAGCTGGAAGTGGCGCTATGGCTCAAGTGGTAGAGCGCTAGCCTTGAGTTGAAGAGCTGAGGGACAGTGCCCAGACCCAGAGTTCAGGGCATGACTGGACTCAAAAAAAAAAAAAGAAATTAAATACTATACTCCTAAATAACCAATAGATCAAGTTAGAAATTTAACAGTAAAATACAAAAGACTTTCAGGAGTAGAGGAACAGTTCAGTGGTACAGCAGTTGCCTAATATATATGTGATCCTATATCTCTGCTTGGGGAAGGGAGGGGGGCAATTGGAGGGAAAGAGGGAGAGAGAGAACAAGAAGGTGACTTTGATAAGATGAATGAAAATGAAGAAACAATGTATCAAATCATGATCACTTGATAGAGCAATGCTGATAGGTAAACAATAGCTATAAATATGCCTATATTAAATACAATAAAAATCCGAAATCAACATTCTATCTTTCTACCTTAGGGTGGTGGGTCAAAAAGAACAAAAAAATCAAAAGAGAAAAAATAACATAGAGCAAAAGTTGATAAAACAGAATATAAAGAAATATCAAAAATATTAATCAACAATAGATCTTGAAAAGTTAACTAAACTTAGAAACGCAGTTGCTAGACCCAAGCCACCTACCGACCACATGGGGAAAATACCACAGAGAAAGAAGGATAATACTCAAATTGTTAAATGATTAATGAAAGAAACATTATTATGCTTCTAAGGATTATAAGAGGATAATTTCAACAAATAAGTGTCCCATGTTGTACAGCATATATAAAAACAGAAAAAAAATCCTGGAAAGGCACAGACCACCCAAACTGACTCAAGATGAAAAGAAAGTTATAACAGATTTGTAAAAATAAAATGATTGAAACTTTTCACATGTGTATACATACAAAGGGCCCAGGACCACATGGCTTTACTGGCAAATTCCACCAAATAGTCCAAGAAAAAAATTTAAATCAAGCTTTCACAAACTTTTTGAAGATAAAGAAGACAAAATATGTTCTTGAGAAAATATTAGCAAACAAAATCCAGTGATGTATAAAAAGGATTATATAACATGACCAAGAAAGATTTTTCCATGAATGTTAAGGATGGCTTAATAATCTTAAATCAATTATTACAACACAGTCTACCAGGTAAAAGCTATGACAAGCACATCAACAGACAGAAAAAGTGTTTGATAAGATTTAAGTCTTTTCATAACAAAAAGCATATCCTACAAACTAGGGAGAACTTCCTCAATCTGATCTATTTAAAAAAAAAAAACCCTAAGCTAATATCAAACTCAATAGTGAAAAAATGAATGATTTTCCCCAGAGGTCAGAAACAAGACATACCCATCACTTCTTTCAACATTGTAATTGAGATGCTAGAGAAATTGAGCAAGAAAAAATAATAAAGGCATTCAGATTGTAAAGGAACCAGTTATAGTGTACTACTGTCAGACATATAGAACAATGGGACTGACTTGAAAATGCAGAAATAAAGCAGTACATTTATGACTAATAGATTTTGACAAGAATGGCAAAACAAAAAGAACACTTTTTAGAAAAGTAGTACTAAGACAACTGTATATTCAAAAGCAAATGATTCTAAGTGAATCAATTTGTTGTACTGCGTAGAGAAACTACAACTTAGTTAAAAAACTACATGTTAGAGTTAAGAGAAATCTTTTTAAGTATATTTTTATTGTAAAGATACTGTACAGAGTGGTTACAGTTACATGAGCAATATGAGTCCATTTCCTATTGAGCATTGTTACTCCCCCCATTGTTTTTCCCCTACCATCCCTTTCCTCCTCCCCACCTCAAATCTTGTGATTTGATTTTATTAAAAATTCAAGCATAATATAGATAACTAAAGAAATAATATCAACTAGTCCTCATCAAATCACAACTTTTTATTCCTTATAGGTCACTATCAAGAAAGTAAAATGATAGCCTATAGAATGAGAAGACATTGGTAAATCATTATCTTGTAAGGAACTTGTAAGCATAAAGAACTCTTAACAGCTCTATAATAAAAATAAATAAAAAGAAAAAAACCCTCAAAAAAAACGAAGCATAGAACTACACTATGATCCAGCAATTCTACTCCTTGTCATTTATCCAATAGAGCACAAACAATTGTAGAGCACATGGGCAGCCAAGATGGCGCTGGGAGAGGGTTGAGTGGGCAGAGCCCAATTGATCGGCCCATTGGTGCCTAACCAGCCCCTGAAGGCTCAGGTGAATGATAGGTGTGACCTTGACAGTGATTGGTTCCTCTTCCTCCCTTACCATACCACCCACCCTTTTTGTCTTTAAAAGGGGCTGCTCTCTGTTAATAAACGAGTTTTCTACCTGCTGGATTTGGCTCCCTGCTGTGTCTGATTGTCTCCTGGGCTGAGGGAGGCTAGGGAACGGGCTAGCGCCCGCACTTACCTTTCCTCGGACCCCATCTGTCTTTTGTGGGATGGATGAAGACCCAACAAACAATGATACACTAAAGCCATCACCACAAACATGTTTACTGCAGCATTATTTACCGTAGCCAAGATACGGCATCAGCCCAGGTACCCCTCCATGGACAATTGGTCAAGAAAATGTGGTATCGTTCTCATCCACAAAAAAGAATGATACATACATTACTGTACCATTCATAGATAAATGGAAAAGACTTGGAAACAATTAAGAGAAGTAAGCCGGAGAAACACAGTTTGCATGGTTTCTCTCTTTTGTGGGGGCTAGAATGTGCTGATACATCTAGAAGTAAACACACTGGGTGGTAATCAAGCAGTTATAAATTAACTGAAGCATAATAGACTCTATAGAGAGCGAAAATTGTGTAATTCCTTAGAAAGACTAAGTAAAAGTACAACAAAACAAGTGCCAGGAAATGGGTACCTATAAGGGATTGGGGGAAAAGGGAGAAGGGAGAAGAATGAACAAGGGAAATGAATAGAATGCAGGCAAAAATGCCTTGTACATGCCACAGAACTTAGAAAAATAAGGGAAGGAGTGGGCTGAAGGGGTTGAAGGGATGGCACAGATCAAGATGCATTGTTTACAGAAAATGCTTCATTAAATTGCAGAAATTTCAATATATAACAAAAATAAAGAAAAGTAAGGGAAAGGGTGGGATGTGAGGAAAGGGGTGGGGCAGGAGGGGTGGGTAAGAATGTTTAAAAGGGATGATATTGATCAAGAGGCACAGTATTCATAAACTGCTCTGCTGAATGGCAACGCCTTTGTACACTATTTAAATTAATTTAAACAACTTAAAAATAACCACAATTGAGGGTGCTAAAAGCTCATGCCTTTAATCCTAGCTACTCCAAAAAGTCCTTGAAACTCTTCAACTAAGCACACAGACACACGCACCCACACAGATACACAGACACTCACATAGAAACCCCCCCCCCAACACACACACTCAGAGCCAGAAGTAGAGATGTGACTCAAGTGGTAAAGCACTAGATGAGTAAAAAAGCTCAGGGACAGTGCACAGGCCCTGATTTCAAGCCACAGAATAGCACCAAACAACAAAACAAAAACCACCTGACTAGATATTAATTCAAAGAAGTTAAATAAATTATCAGTAAGCACATAAAATACTCAGGAGTCTGTGATCTGAGGACTGCAGTTCAAATCAGGAAAGTCTGTTAGACTCTTATCTCCAATAAACCACTCAGAAAATGGGAAGTGGCACAGTGGCTCAAGTGGCAGTGCGCTTTAGCCTTGAGCTGAGGGACAGAGTTTATGCCCAGTTCAAGCCAATGACTGTCAAAAATAAATAAATAAATAAAAGATGCTCCACAACTCATTTCTTGGAAATGCTAATTAAAACCACAATTGAGAGATTAATTTGAATCCATTATAACTAGGATAATTAAAAATAATAGATAAGAACTAGTGTTAGCATGGATGTGAAGGCAAAATGAAACAGTTGCTGTAGATAACACTTGAAACTGTAAGTGAGAAGTCAGACACAAAAGGTTATTTGTTATTTGATTTGGAGCATAGGCATAGGTATTTAGCATAGCATGATTTGGGGAATAGGCATAGGCATCTAGCATAGGCAAAAGAAAGTAGATCAGGGACTGTTTAGTGCTGAGCCAGGGTGGGGGTGGGGAGAAAACAGAACTAAGAAAGGGATTAAAAGAAAATGGGGAAAGACTGGCATTTGAACTCAAGACCTTATGTTTGCTACGTAGGTGCTCAACCACTTGAGCAATTCCAACAGCCCCATCCTCCTTTTAAGAACTTTTCTGACAT